ATTTTTATTACTCAACTTCTTTTTACTTTTTTCTATGCTTGAAAATAATCATGCAAAAATATTTTGGTGAGGTTATGTTAAGTGCATATAACATACACACCCCCCATTTACCACTTCATAGTTTCTCCAATTTTGATCATCATTAACAAGAACTTTAATACTATATATCTAACAATTCTTGGTACTATTTGCATAGGTATATCAAACTAAACCTTATTTATCAATTTGCAATGTAAATTGGAAACTCCTTCTCATGCCATTAATTTATCATATGCTTCTAATATGCCAATTAGTTCCATGTACTCTATATACATGTGGGACAATTCTTAAATTAGTTTCCGAATGATGCTCAATTTCTAATTGAAAATAACTAAGATTGCATTGCTAGGTTAAAAGAACAAATTGAGAACAAAGTGTGGAATGATTACTGAATAAGTTTTTTTCATGGGTTCAAATGATACTAATTTTTCAGGGTTCGTGAATAAGTTTTTTAATTTTTTTTGCTCTTTTAATTTTTTTTTTCTTTTCAATTTAGTGGGATTTTTTTATAAGCAATTATTACAAATTTATGAACAAATTGATTGCTGGAAATGGTAAGGAAGATGGAAGAGATTAAGGAGGAGAGAGATTGAATAAACGTATTGATTAACTATGGTAAATTGACTATTAAGGTAACAAATATTTCTTATAGTTAGGTCTGATGAAGTAATAACGTGTAATTGACTATTTGACTATTGATTCGTTGAAAAATCCGTTCTTTTGGACCACATGAGAGCCTTCCTGTGTGTGTGTGTATATATATATATATATAAAATATGTATGTGTGTGTAAATATTATTATTCCTTTTTTTCTTTTTTCTTTTTCTTTTTTTTTCCCAGTAATTAAAAAGGTAATTACAATAAAAACATGGGGGCATTCCCCATGGCCCAGACCGAAAAAGAACACATTAGTGGCCCAAACAGATCTTGGGCATCAAAAAAACAAAACCAGCCCAGCCCACAAGTATAATGCAATTCAAAAGTAATAAACTGGTACATCAAAAGTCAAAACCTTGTGCATAAACGCAGAGAAAAATGGAAGAAACTGAATAGGATAGCCCAGTAATCTCTCAAAATAAAAACCCCACCAGAACTACATTAGTAATGATTGTTAAACCGAAGTCATGCACTGAATTGTGATGTGGTAGTCAGCTTGTAGAGAATGTGATTTAACGTGATTTTTTACTAATCTAATTATTCACTTTTACTGTTCACCATCCCATGGCCCAGACAAAGAAGATGGGCAGAGAAAAAGAAAAAGAAAATTGTCTACTGTCCACATTAGTGGCCCAAAGAGATCATGAGCATCAAAAACCAAAACCAGCCCAGCCCACAAGTATAATGCAATTCAAGAGTACTCCTAAAAAACTGGTACATCGAAACCTTATACAGAGAAAAATGGAATAAAATAAAAACCCCACCACAACTACATATAAGAAATTTCACTTATATGGGATTGGGCCATTGTTTGGTTTAATATATATGTATATATATATATATATTCATCTATATTTAGATTCTATACATCAACAATTATAATAAGAGCCGTGATACATCTTCCGACTCCAATCACCGAAAAATCCTCCGAATCAGACTTGGAATGCCACGACATTCTATAAATCATGCCACGACACACCTTTACTTTCTCTTTCTTTCTGAAGACCCAACTGAAAAAAAAAAAAAAAAAAAAAAAAAAAAAAAAAAAAAAAAAAAGTCATCTCTTTCTCAATTTATTCTTGGGTTAATTGCATTAAACCCCTCTGAACAATTTTCTCTTTCTAAAAAAACCCCCCTGAACTATTAAAAAGATGCTTAACCCCCTGAACTATTCAGTTTGTTGCAAAATGTTAGTTGGCCGTTTGAAATCTAACGGAAAGAAAGGCAAGTTTGTCACGTGACTTGGCAAATATTCAGAAAGACAAAAATAACCTTATAATTAAATGAATATTATATATATATATATATATATATATATACACACGCTCGTCCACCCTCTCCCTCCAACCACCTTCGCTGTCCATCATGACCATCACCACCACCGCCAGTCCATGGCTGCCACCGTCACCACCTACCGCCGCCGCCACTGCCGCCGCTCTCTTGCCCTCACAAAGATTCTTCTTCCTTGACAACCACATCCACCATCCACACCCACTACCACCCCTATCTCTCTCCAATCCAATATATACACACGCGCGTCCACCCTCTCCCTCCAACCACCTTCGCTGTCCATCATGACCATCACCACCACCGCCAGTCCATGGCTGCCACCGTCACCACCTGCCGCCGCCGCCACTGCCGCCGCTCTCTTGCCCTCACAAAGATTCTTCTTCCTTGACAACCACATCCACCATCCACACCCACTACCACCCCTATCTCTCTCCAATCCACTTCTCTCTTCTTCTTTTTTCTCTTTAACGTCGAACTCCGGCACTGACGAGAATGACGAAAAGGTGAAAAATCATTCAACAAAAATCGTTTGTTGCAAAGGTCAGTGTTTGGAGGGGAATTGATTGAAAGAATAACGCGTATTTTTTGGGCAGTTGCGATTAGATTGGTTTGGTGATCGGCTACAACAGATTTTTGGGGCTTTTGTGACTGAATCTGTAGCTTTTACGATTGGGTTTTGCGGTAACCTCAAGTTGCCAACACATTTGATAGCAGTATATAAGTTGTAGGATTATCAGGACAAAGCTTCACAAGCTTTCGCAGTAGCCGCCTGACCATGAACATGGGTTTGGATCGGATCAGTTCCACTAGAGGGTGCGGCCGCGAACGGTGGAGCTAAGGAGGAGGAGGGCTGCTTTGTCGGCGGCAAGGGCTCCATGGATTCTGGCGACCATGGCCTCCATAGATTCCGGCAGCGATCCACCTTGTGTTTGGGAGATTTGGAGAGGTTCGTGAAGAGGAGATTTATATATGTTAAAGACCCAGATATCCCACAAAGCTTGTGCCGGATGTTAGCTCCCCCACACTGCTGCCATATGCAGAGATGGAAGGCAGAGAATGAACCAAGAAGGAAGAGAAACAGTGTTGTGCATCCAGGCCACTTCAGCTTTTCACGTGGGTCAATTTTAAAGTTCGGTGATTAAATGTATTTTATCATTTCTCATTTTTTTTGTCCACGGTAAAATTATTAATGATAGGATGACTTGTTAAATTTTCATTGGATATGGAGATTACAAAGGCCACATCAACTAAAGTTGGATATGTATAATGGGCAAAACGGTAATTTTAGTTTTTAGTTAATGGTTGTTTAACACCTTGGGGTTAAATGCAACATTCTTTTAGTTTAGGGGGTATTTTTTAGTTTAGGGAGGTTTCTTGCAATTGGCTCATAATTGAGGGGGGTTTAATGCACTTAACCCTTTATTCTTCAAAGTTTAGATCTAAAAACTTCGTCTTTTAGATTTTTGGGTTTGTTTGTATTACATAGTGATAGTAAATGTGAGGAATCCGATTGAAAATTTGATGGTGGTGGTGGTTGAAGATGACAAATGGGTTAGAGAGAGAGAGAGGCGAGACAAATGGGTTTATAGAGAAGAAAGGTATAGGCGATTCACTGCTGCCGTTCCTTGCATCGCCGCCAAACTGGGAGCCAGAGGAAGGTGCAGGGGTGTGGAACAAAAAGTCGATGCCAGTGGACAAAGACGGAAGAAATAGAAAAAACACCGGTGAAGGTGAAGCAGCGGGACTGAACCGTAATGCCAGCGAACAAGGATCTCAGATGAGGGCGACGGCGGAGATGGACGGGCAGTAATAAGATGAACACCAGTAATTAAACAACCAAAATATCAGTAGTAATAAAATATGTGTATATTTTGAGTAATCTCCTCCCACCCGAAATACACAGAGAGGGTATGAGAAAAAGAAGGATTAGAGATCATAAATATTGTACTCCAATCATCATCAAATTAAGAATTTCATCTCTCTGTTGCTTGGAGGCGCGCTGTCAGAAAATTCGTCGCTTCAAATCATTCCTGATGACGACACTGCCACAACAAATCCAACCAAGTGACCTCGTTTGCCTTTGCCGTCGACATCACGGGCTAAGCTGTCGCTAGATCGGAGCTCTGTCTTTGGCGCCTATGGGCACTCAATCACAGTTGTTAGTCCAATTTTCTCCTTTATTGAAGTCAGTCCAGAGCTTTAGTCATTACCGGATGGACCCTCGGATGGAAGGCACCGAGTGAAGAAATGAAGAACAATGGAAGAAACAGAGGGAGAGAGAGAAGAGAATCGTGGAGAGAGAATGAGAGAGAGAAAGAGCTATGTGTTTTTGGGGTTCGACGTGGCCTATCCACGTTGGATTTGGAAGATATGTCAGTAGATTGGGTCGGAAGTTGTATCATTTTTCTTATAATAATTAAGCAACCAAAATAAAGGAAATTCATATAAAGTTTCATAAAAAAAAGAAAAGAAAAAAAGAACGATGAGAGATAAGAGATTAATGAATTAATAGTGTACTAGAGTCTCTTGCCTATGCTGAAATCAAAATCAAAAGTACGTACTCTAAAACATTCCAGGTTCAAAACTCACTTTGCATAATTATGATCGAGGATATCAATCTTTCTATTAGTAAACACTTAATTGGGATTAATAGGGAAAGACAATCATTCTTCGAAAACCATCTATGTAATTAATATATATGTTTAAACATTCAGCAAATTAAGCATCAATAACATGGTTTATGAAAAGGTAATTAAGTGGATCAGATGTTAATCCCTATAAATAAATTACTGCATCATTCTAATATTGCTTGAAAATTAAGTTTGTAAATCCCTATAGTACTTTACTCTTATCATCAGAAGAATTGGTCCCGTCCAAATAAATGACTGCATCACACTTGCTCAAACCAAAAGTCTTCTTCAGCATTCCAAAAAACTTGTTTTTTCTTCCGATCCATTTTTCCATCCTTTTTTCTTTCTCCTTTTGTTTGTACATTTCTTTAGTTCTTCCAATCATTAGATCCAACTGTGGAATGAAGTCGTGATCAGGGAAGGATCATTCTGGGCAAATGCTGCAACAAGTTCTGGATAAATCCTCCTCGTTGATGCCTTGAACCACCAATATACATGGACTCTTTCTGGTAAAAACGACGCCACACCTTGATAGTGACCGACTCCCACAAACCTTTGTACATATGCCTTACATGCAGTCAAAATAACATGTCCACGGTTGCGAAAATGTTCAACAATGAAATCTTCAAAGTTGTTGGGCTTGTTTTGGAGCAGGAAGATCATTGTCTTGCATAACAAGCCAAATGCATAATAGTTACACTTCCTAGATTGCTCCTCCATCAATTTAATTCCTTCCAACTCTACAAATTCAGGTTCATTGATCAAGCAAGCCCTCTCATTGAGTACCAGTGTCCGGAGAGAGAGCAACACTTGTAATATGTTGGAACTCCAAGGTTTCCATTTTGGACCATGCACGCATGTATTCAAGAGGCTCAAACGGATAATCCCGTTACTATTAAGGTTTAGATTCAACCCGAAGAGGCCAAATGATCTATAATGTGCCTTTGGAGGCACGTTTGGGTAGTCCTGAGGGAATTCAAAGTCAAAGAAGAAGAGGCCGTTGTGGTATGGTGTGCCAGAGGCTCCCACAATCACAGCTTTCACTAGGTCTATCCTTTTTCTTTTTTTTTTGATAACCCAGAACTCCCTGAGACAGGGCCCTTCGGACCCACCCCTAGGGTACTAAACTGGGGATACTGTAGCCGGCCCCACAGCTACAACACCAAGTTAGTCGACGAAACTAGAAGGCTTGGTAGAGGACTCGAACACTGGTCTCTTGTGTGCCAGGCCCAAGCCCCACCATCACTGCTAGCCCGCCGGGGGCCACTAGGTCTATCTTTCCTTCGTAAGCTCTTACATAGATTGATTCTGGCAGATTCTTCTCTAGTATTTCCCTTTTTTTCATGATTGTTTTGTACGTTGCGCTTTCAGTGCTAACGTGTGGATTCTCCAACTTAGCAAACTCATTGTCTGAGTAATCGGCTACAACATCAAATTGTTGGAATTGTTTGGTTACTGATGTTGCTACTGGATCATTGCCCATTGCGCGCTTTAACTTGCTACTGTATTCAAACAAAGAAGGATATATGCATTCAAGTTAGGGTTGAGGTCAAGGGAAATGAAGAAACTTAATTTGTAGTAATTAACCCCGCCCGAGTGTAAGTATATTATTTTTTATTATCAAGAGAAATAATGAGTATTCATTGTCTTGGGCATTGTATTACATGTTTCTATCTTTCTAAAAAAAAAAATTATAAAATAAATAATAATAATAAAAAAATAAATATTTTAAATGTGAGGAAAAAAGGGTGTTGGGTTGCTGTGGTGAGACTCACACTGTTCATCTCTTTGTGAGGAATGAGAGATGACAAAAAGAATTACTCTATTTAGGATTGAACCGGTTACAAAAAGAATTATTCTATTTGAAATTGCCAAGTATTTGAGAAAATTAACAATTGGATAATGATTTCTGACATATTCCAAGGTGAATATAAGACTAAAAAAAGATTTTGGCCATAATAATGTGGAAGGTGCATGTGGGTATGTATATAAATATATATATATATATATATATATATATATATATATATATATACACACACACACACACATATACATGCACTCGGGTTTTGGTGATTCTAGTTCGTTTAATTAATCTATACGTAACCTATTTAACACATATTGAAGGGTTATGGAACATACTTGGAGTTCTTTGGAGAAAGTAAAGCTTGTTGGAGGATCACCTACATTGTGTGTGAGTGTATGTGCATGTATATATAGAGAGATGATCTATAAAAGTGTAATGTCTGTAATTTAAAAGAAAAAGAAAAAGCGAAAAAAAAAAAAAAAAAGGTGGGACCCACTAATGTTTAAGTGGTCATAAGACCACGTTTGTGAAAGCTCTGTAATCTCATTCTCTCTTCTCCTGTCTCTGTCTGTATCTCTCTCGGCTTTTTGTTTTTTTTTAGTTTACAAATTCAAGTCTTGATTAATCCCTTATCTCTTATCGGATTAAGGTGCCATTTGAGGCAAAACGAAGCCCACGACATCAATTTCAGTTTCAGTTTCAGTTTTTGTGCACCCTTTGGATTTCGAAATTCAAGACCCATTTCAAGGGTTTTGTGCAATCTTGAGGTAGGGGTTTCTTAATTCACATTTTTTTTGCACCCTTTTGAGTTTCTACTTTATATGTGATATAACATGCTTAATTGTGTTAGTTGTTGTTTTGAATGCCATGATTAGTACCTATGTGAATATGTGGAAGCTTGTTTTAATGTTGTTATATGAGAAACAAGCTGTACCATGAGTTTATGCGTATTGTATTGTTCTTATGCTATAAATGATGTAAGAAAGCATGCTCTAGTGTGTTTTATTATAATCCCTCATTGATTTAACATTAAAGGCATGAGTTATACATGTGAATCATGGGGTTGCATGATGGAAAAATGTTTTGAAATCGAAACGTGGAATTTTGGGGATGTGTTTTTGATAAAATGGTTTTATGCAAACCCGGTCGCTGCGGGGTTACCAACGGGCCGGAGGTTAATATAGCCTAGAGGGGACTCGGGAGTCGCCCTAGTGTGGTTGAGCTAGCTGGGCCCCATAATGACGCCACGGGGTTACCAAGGGTCAGGGACACTAGCCAATCCTCCTCTTGTGTCGCTGCGGGGTCACCAAAGGGCGGGCTGTATTAACAGTTTGAAAGTAATGATCTTGAATTTGAAAATGGGGAGCGACATCGGTATGCATTTGCATCTCCATTGCATCTTATCATTTGTGTTAAGATTGGTAACCATGTTATATCTTTCCCCTACGTTGTATGATCCCTATCCCCATTGGTCTATGCTTTGTTTGGATTCACGGGGCTTCAAGAGGTGCCTCTTATGCGTCACCTACTGAGCATATTTGCTCACCTTACTATTTATATTATTTTTTTAGGTCTTGGAAATGAACCGGTGGACGACAATCCACCTCAAGCTTGAAAGTTGTTAGAAGGTTGTTTACTATTTTGTATTTTGACCATTCTATGTATACTCATAGTTGTGGAAATGTAACTAAGTTAGTATTCATGGCCTTGTAACTTAAGAACGAATTTATCTTTTGTTTGATGTAAATGAAACTAATGGAATTGTGGTATATATTTCCATGCAATTGTATCATGTAACGTTGTAAGACAGGGACTTTAGATCTTAACCATGTATTTTGGGACTGTAATTATGATAAGTTAGATTAATTGGTGTGTGGATGTTCCACCATGAGAGGAACTATGTTAAGGTATAATGAACGGATGAATGGGATGCTGGATTATACTATGTGTTTTATGTATTAGGTCATGTTGTTGAAGGACCATTTTTAGGGGAGGTTATGCTGAAATTTTTTTAAATTTTGGCATCAGCTTGGGTTGTTACAAAAAGTTTGTTGTTTCTTAGTCCACCAAGAACTCCAATTTTGGTAGGTTTCTTTTTTTTAAAAAAGAAAAAGAAAAAGAAAAGAAATATAATGATGAGGGTAAAATTTTAAATTACCCTTATTTTTTATTTTTCTTCTTCACCAAAAAAATAATTACTGGCGGGAGTACTATACGATTGTTACTTCCGAGGTACTAATACTTTCTAATACTGGCTTAATAAAAATAGAAACTGAGGAGGCCCGAAGTGACATGGGCCGGATATGACCCGCGGACACGACATCCGGTCCGTACAGATGGGTCAAGCCCATAGAGAGACACTGCCATATGGGCCGAACGCGAATAGCCCATCAAAGATGATCAAAACTCACAGAGGAACAGGCCCAGATCTAGCAGTCCATAAATGTTTGTAAGTATCTATAAATAGGAGAAGTAATGGATAGAGGAAGGGGATTTTTTCTGTTGAAGTGTAAGAGTTCTAGAGAGAGAAAGAAAAAACGAATTTCTTGCATCTTCAATTGGCGCCGTCTGTGGGAATCGTTGAAGATTGATTGATCATTGATCAATATCGCGTGGATTCAGACCAATTCGTGGAAACGAAACTCGATCTTTGGGAGTTGGATCCAGATCTGAGCGATTGTGACCTACTCTGGAGGAATTTTAGTTCCTGTTGCTTTGGCGGAAGTGGTTCAGATCTACGTAACAACGAGTTGTTCGATTGTGGCCGGATCTGACGGATTTAGAATTCGGACAATTCAAATCTCGTCAACCGTAAGCATAATTCGGAGAATTCGAAACCAGATCTGAAAAATTCGCACTCACGAAGCTCAGATCTACTCACGAACTTGAGATTAATGCCTTTACTCCGTTCAGGAATAATGATAAGTGAAAGCTCCAATCCGATGGAGGCCGTCCAGCAAACGAAGCTTGAAGAGTTGATGAACTTGATCGAGGCTCTCAAAAAAGAGAATGCAGAATTGAAAGCTGGAATGCAACATCAGCAAATACCCGCGGTTTCGCGTCCACTTCCGGCCGGTGAAGGAGGTGTTCAATCTAATATCGCACATCAAGGCGAGCAGGACGAGAACAATCAGCCAGCTCTCCACCGTGATGAAAGGAGGATGGATGATTTGCCGCCAAATGTTCGTCGAGTTGAGGATCACGAAGGATCGACTCACGTTGATCCGCGACATGAGCAGATCAGACAGAACGAAACCATGACCTTCGATCCGCATCGGGAAAGGTTCAACCGAGAGGAAGTGACAGAGGTTGATCGCCGCCGAGTTGTGTCGCCTTAGCAAAGAGAGCTCATTGAGGAACGGTCGTTCGATCCGTCTTACCGGCCCTCCATGGCTACAATCACTCATCGCGGTTCGGAGAGCAGAACCGTAGCTCACAGAGCTACCGCTGGGCTCTAGAGAGAGAATGAAGCACTCCGGTCCGTGGCTCGGACGGTTGATTCACCATTCACTGACGAGATCCTGAATGCCCCGCATCCAAGGAAGTTTGCTATGCCAGTCTTTATTTTGTTTAACGGAACAACCGATCCGATCGATTATGTGTACCATATCCAGTTGAAGATGGCCCTGAATACGGAGAACGATTCTTTAATGTGCAAATGTTTCCCTACAAGCCTAGCTGGACCGGCGCTCAGCTGGTTCAAGAACTTGCCTAGGAGCTCCATTGATAGCTTTCGAAACCTGTGCGATCGGTTCATAAGCCAGTACTATGGGAACAAGCGTCCGCCGAAGGACATCTCGAGCCTATTCACAATGAGACAGCACAAAGATGAACGTCTCCAGGCTTTTCTCACCAGGTTTAATCTCACTAAGAGTATGGTGATCGAATGCCACCCTTCTACAGCGGTTCAAGCCTTCAAGTTAGCCATGACACGTGGCACTCCGTTCCATACCAGTCTGGTAGTGAACACGCCGACGACTATGGATGAACTCAATGAAAGAGCCGATGGCTTTATGCACTTAGAAGAAGAGGAGGCAGCCAATGCTCGGACAGTGTCGGTCGTGTCGACCGAGGAAAAGTCCAAGGCAAAGATCAGGCAGAAGCAGGCTCAGCCGCAACGTCAGACCTCCTGGAAGGCAGAAAAGAGGTCCAGGGAGGAAGAGCTGATCACTCCGCTGAAGGTCACTCTGGCGAGACTATATCAGGAGAACAAAGATAAGTTTCATCCACCACTGCCAATTAGGCAACCCCTCGAACAGAGGGATCAGACTAAACATTGTGCTTTCCATTCCGATTTCGGTCATCAGACTAACGAATGTAGGAATTTGAGAAGGCAAGTGGAGATGTTGATAGCTAGAGGGGAGTTCGCGAGTTATGTTCAAGGCTCGGCGATAGAGCAGAATCGACCGATGGAGCAAGTAAAAAGGAGTCATAAACAAAGCTCCCACAATTCACAACCAGTTCGTATAATCAATGCTATCCACGGTCGACCCGAGGCCAGTGAAGATTCAGATGAGCTACTTCGAACGCGCCTACGGCAGGCGCAGATGAAGAAAAGGGTCAGCAGTGTGAATACTCTGCACCAACAGATCACATCGATACAGATAAAGTTCGACAGGACAGACCTGCAGCGTGTTCAAGTCCCCCATGAAGACCCGTTGGTAGTCAGCTTGACA